ATGCGCACACATTGGAATTTCGCTAACTCCTCCGAAGGCTTTCGTTCCACCGGCACCACATTTGCTCAGGCCAATCTACACCCCATGGCCATTAAAAGTTATTCAAATCATGATGCTGCACCCCACGGTTTAGGTTCTAGGGGGCGCCAAATATAACCCTAAAATCCACATATTTAAAAGTCTTATAACTTTTTATTTTTGTCCTCACTGGCCTCCAAGTTCTCTAGGATGATGCAATGTCCAGCCATCAACACATTTGTGAAGGAATTTTTACTCCCCAAAAGAGCGCCCCCCCATGGCAGGAGAAAAAAGTCCATTTTTTCTTGTCCCCTAAGGTGAAAATACATATTGTTGAGTGTCACGCCTGTACGCTTTGTCATATTGACACAAAATTTGACAATCACGTGTGTCTCAATAACATCTACGAAAAAGTCAATGCACGCGTATCTGTAAAATGTACGGTTAAAGGGCTATTTTGCATTTTTTGCCGATTCGCACACATTGGAATGTGGCTAACTCCTCCTAAGGCTTTCGTCCCACTGACACCAAATTTGCTCAGGCCGATCTACACCCCATGGCCATTTAAAGTTGTAAAAATCATGACGCTGCACCCCACGGTTTACGTTCTAGGAGGCGCCAAAGATGACCCAAATATCCACATTCTTAAAAGAATCCACCCCCCCCCCCCCCCCATCCCCCATCCCCCATGGCAGGAGAAACAGTCAAGTTTTTCCTGCCCATCACTCAATGGCTCAATCGCATCGCTCTCCCGGCAACACCGTAACGAGGAGCAACTTGCCGTTTGGATATATCCTAGCTGTGTTTGTGCCCTCACTCATGGTCCAGACTTTTTTCAAATAGGACATGTAGTTTGTCTGCAGCGAGTGTTTTGGTAGAAACTGCGCCTCCCATTCATTATAATGGGAAATGACCACAGACAAGTGCGCACACCATCTTTGGACCTTGAGTGTGACGCGATCGGGGGGGCGGTCGCGCTGGGGGCGGCACGACGCGGCACGGGCCCGACAGTGCCCCATCGGGGCCCTAGTTTTTCTTGTTATCCTATAACTTGGGCCATAACAAGTTCATACTGACCACCCCCAACTCGGCCCCGTTTGGCCCCAGGGGCAAAAAAAACTTTTTTTTGGGAAAAGCTTCTGGCGAAATGATGTAATTGCAAACATTAGGGTGCTGCAACTGCATAAATGGTCAAATAAGTCTAAAATTTTGCATGGTGTATCCTAACACATAGGGGAAACTACCAGAATAATAATCTGGGGTTTACTACCATTCTATTGCCAAATATCACCCTCTGAATACCCCAAAAGACCAAAAATTGTATGTCCGCCGAACAAATTGTCATCAAAAGTGATCATTTTTTACTGCCTACCATGGATTTGGAAAACTTCCCATTAAATTACAGGTGGTATGACCAAAGTACTTCACTGTACCCCAAATCGGAGAAACCTGACAATTCCAGAATCACCATTCCAAATGGGATTAAGCACATTTTCTGAATCTAAACCAAATCTTAAACAATATTTGAAACATGAGTTATGTAGTACTACACTATCTGAAGTGAATTACATAAAATGAATAATGGTATGCCCCCAGGTGGACCAGGGTATCAAGGTCCAACATTAAACATGATCACACCAAATCCAGGAACCAAATAGGAGATTTATTAAAGAACAAGATCCGGACAAGGAATAAAAATGACTTGAGAACATTTCTTAACAATAGATTAATGTTCTGTGCAACCTAATGGAGAAATATGGAAAAAAAAAGCTCAACCAAAAAGCACATTGCTATGGTCCTTTTTTACTCTACTTTGACCACTAGTCATATCAATGTATTGTGTATACAATATGTCCCAGAATATCCACTTAGGAAGTTTTATTGTTCATTTCATCTATCCTTCTATTGCTTTCTCTTAGCTGCAGCTGTCTGGGATATTGATGTGGCTACACTCATAAAAATGTTCTGCTCCAGGATGTGTCCTCAGTGTCTATGAAATATACTTAGTAGGCAATGTGAGGATTCCAGTATAGTTTTGCTGCTCTGAGAGGGCTTTGTATGATGATGATGATGATGATGATGTTATATGTACTGAGATTCCGGCTGATAAGACTGTGACAATATAACTGGATTTTAATCATCATCTTCCTCCTCTTCCTCATCATCATCCATATTGGTATGGATTTCATCCGCTAAGTCATCCTCATCTGTTTCTTCTTCTGCCAAGACGTCGACAAGGGCTTTGGGGATGACGTCACCCTCGACCTGTAGACTGGAATGGTTTTCTCACAAATGATGACAACAAGATGTGAATGTACTTCTTGATCACTGAAGTACTTTGGTCATAGCACCTGTAATTTTCCAGATAGAAAGGTCAGCTTGGACTTAAAGTGAAGCTTATAAATGTGGGAAGTTTTCCATATCCATGGTGGGCAGTGAAATGTATAGGAAAATACTTTAAAATGATCACTTTTGATGACAATTTGTTAGGCGGACAGACATTTTTTGGTCTTTTGGGGTATTCAGAGGGTGATATTTGGCAATAGAATGGTAGTAAACCCCAGATTATTATTCTGGTAGTTTCCCCTATGTGTTAGGATACACCATGCAAAATTTTAGACTTATTTGACCATTTATGCAGTTGCAGCACGCATTTGCAGTATGCATTTGCAATTACATCATTTCGCCAGAAGCTTTTCCCAGTGATCATTGTGTGATAGGGGTTAATCGAGACACAAGGATACTGAAAAGTATCCCTTGTTTTTTCGAAAAAACGCAATATGAAAAATTTTGTTGAACATGCTTTTATTCATGATCTTTGTAGTCTTCGCTGGGACAGAGTTGCCATCTTTGATGATGTTGAACTTGCCTGGAATTATTTTCATTCTGCTTTTATAAAAATTGTTGACAAACATGCACCTATCCACAGATTTAGAGTCAAAGGACATGAGAGCCGATGGTTCTCAAGTGAATTATCAGAACTCTTTCATGAGTGTAACTCTGCCTGGGCCAGAGCACGGAAGATTGGTAAAGACTCTGATTGGCTCTCTTTTAGACAGCTGAGAAACATGTTTACATCCTCATTTCACAAGACCAAGGCTGAGTATCACTTGTCTTTAACAACTGAAAATCTTAACGACCCAAAATCTTAACAACCCTAAGAAGTTCTGGACCACAATAAAATCCATGTCCCCAAATTGTAACTCAAATTACATATTCTGAAGCCTTTTGATAACCATTTTATATCCGCAGGATTTCTTATTTAAACAGGATACTTCCCAATTGGTGTCCACAATTAAGGAGGACACCAATTGTGAAATCCCTTGTTTTAACTTGGCTCCTTTTAGTACCTCTAATGTTTTAACAGCTCTAAAAAATCTGAACCCCCGCAAACCGGCTGGTCCAGACAAAGTGGAACCCCTGCTTTTAAAATTTGCCTGGGATTTTATTGTGGAACCACTTTGTCACATTTTTAACCTCACTTTGAGAAGTAATAGAATCCCAGAAGTTTGGAAATCAGCCTTTGTGGTCCCCCTTTTCAAAGGAGGTGACTCAACACTTTAAGACAACTACAGACCAATATCTAAACTGTCTGTATTATCTAAAGTGCTTGAGACATTGGTCAGTGACCAGATGAAGGAGCTCCTGGCCTGTAACTCTACTCTGTTTCAATTTGAGTCCGACTTTAGGAAGAACCACAGCACTACCACTGCTGCAATGAAGGTAGTGAATGATATCCTAGAGGCCTTAGACAACAAGCAGTGTTATCTTTCTCTCTTCATTCATTTTTCTAAGGCTTTCTAAGGCTGGATCACTGTATTTTATTAGACCATCTTAAAGCTTAAGGGTTCTCAGAACCAGCAGTCGGGTGGTTTGTGGATTATCTCTAATGTTACTCTGACTGCTGATAACGTTGTCATAAGCTAGCTGCTAAATAACAGCAATAGCCTCTGAAGTCACTCAAACAATGGCTCCACAATGTTTGGTTAAGTCAGATGTGATGTGTTTTTAACTTCACAAAAGTGAATTATTAAACAGATACGTTCAGCAACATTACATGAATAAGCGCTGACTGCAGGCGCGTTCAGCATAAAGAATATTCTTGTTAGTTGGATGAAGTGTGACTTAATTGGTCTACACCAGAGGTTCTCAACCTTGTGCCTGCTGGGCCCCCCCCCCCAAAGGTGGGTCAATGCAGTTGGGCCCCCCAGACCCACAGGCAATATTATTCTCATTTGCATCCTGTTTGAATCCCACTTGCAACCTCGCGGTCAGCATCTTATCCATTTTCGTGAAAAAAAAAAAAAAAAAGTTTTTAGCTGCTTCTGGTTGGCTGGCTCTGTGGTCTTCTTCCACTGGGACACAGACTGTCACCATTCCGAGGCGATGAGTTAGTCACGGCCTGTCTGGACCTGTGTCCTGGACTCTGTTCCAAATCCAGAGATGCATCTCCTGTCGGCCTTTGTCAGAACACCTGAGGCTAAGGTGAGCTAAAACTTTTTTTTCACACAATGCAAATGGATGAGACATGCTGACAGTGACTGGATGTAAACAGGAATAGTATCACTGGATTATGAACCTGTTGGAGCTGGATGACTGATAATGAAGGTGGTAGTGGTATCAGTCATGTCATCAAATACATTTGTATTTCTGCGCATGCGTCAGCGTCGTATGGCTACTAGCCATTTCTCTCTCCTGTGACCAACTTTTTAGCCCATTTTAACCGGTTTTAAACAACTTTTAAGACTGCATTTTAAGAGTTTGCTGACTTTTAAGTTAAACTTTTACCGTGTATGGGTTTTTATTTTATTTTACTTTATTTTATATTATCTGTCATAGCAGAGAAAAAGAGTGCAGGTTCCTGCAAGCCATCGTTTTTATTTGGTTTTAAAAGGATTATTTTTGCTTTTACCGGACAGAAGGTTTTAGACATCAGACTCTGGGATTTTATGCACTCTTGCTGAGACAGCTACATGGCAACCATGGAGGCTACCGCCATAGATGCTTCCTTACCTGCTGAAGTTGGTCAACAATTTAAAAGAGCCCAGAAAAAGATTGCAGATCTTCTGGAGGACATTGGTCGACTCTCAGACGAGCTGCAGAGAAAGGACTCACTCCTGGCCACTTTCAAATCTCGGCTCCCGGCGTTGTCCAGCTGGTTGGAGGGAACACAGACTGGCAAGCTGCCACACCATAGCACTGCAGCTGCACTGAGTGACACTGTCGTCTGGGAGCCTTCCTCCTCCACCTGTCAGCGGCCCCCCAGCTCTACTCCCAACAAAGGGACCCCCTGGTCTGAGGTAGTGGTCCGCAGCTGGAAGAAGGCTTCTGCCAGGGCTCCGTGCGGGGTTTCCTCCTCCATTGACGCCCCCTCTCAAACAAATATTCTGCTCTGTCCATGACTTTGGAGCCACTGGGCCAGGGCCCTGCTGATCACGAGGCCTCCCTGAGGGATGCTGCGCCCCCGCTTACAGACACCACAGCCTTCCCTCCACTCATGGCTGCACCGTGCCATCCAGCGCCGTGCCGTCCAGCGCCATGCCACTCGCCTCCATCCCCCCGTCCCTCAGCTCAGCGGAGGCAGCTCCTCAAGGATGCGGTGCAGTGGCACACTGGACGTCCTCATCCCCAGGCACCTGATGGGGAGGACGGGTCCACTGAGCCAGCCGCCCCCCTCAGGCAACAGGCAATGACACTAGTCATTGGGGACTCCACCATCCGGAACGTCCGTCTGAGGGGAGCGTTCACCCTGTCCTTTCCCAGCACCACTGTTGCAGACATCACTGAGAAAATCCCAAGTGCCCTGAATTCACATCCACAGGTAAACAGGGTCCTCATACATGTGGACACTAATGACACCTCCAGACAAGCTTTTAAAGCGTGATTTCACACAGCTTTTTAACAAACTCTCACCGCCCCAGCTGCCAGATTTTTTTTCTCCGGCCCCACCTGTGGCAGAGGCATTGGGTGATTCAGCAGGTTGCTAAGCCTGAACACCTGGCTCCCATCAGCCTGCAGTACCCACAATGTCGGCTTTGTTGACAATTTAAATGTTTTTTGGGAGAGGAGACATCTTTTTGGCTCGGATGGTCTTAATAGAGCTGGCACCCGCGTGCTGGCCGCCAACCTGGCATACGGTCTACAACACACTCAACTCTCACTTTCCTCCCATCACCCCAAACGTACACCAACTGACCTTTCCGCCACTGATTGATGTCCCCCAGGTCCCAGTTCCTATGATTTTAGTCAGCCAGTGTGTCCTTTGTTGTTGATCTGGCTACCTGCACTGGAAGCTGTGACTGGTTCTGTCTAGGGTTTCTCTGCCTCGTGGTGTGCACTCAGCTCGGCCAGGTGGTGATCTGCAGCAGTGCTTGCTGCTGTGGGCCCCTCACTGGCCTGTAGTGGGGTGCACACCCGGGTGGAGGTGTCCTGGCCCTGGGCTGTGAGCGGCCTCCAGTGCAGTCGGCCTCCTGACGTTTCCTGACTTGGCTCCTCTGTATTCAGCCACACGCTTTTCAGATTGCATTGTTGTGTTTCTGTTCAGATGTGTGGTGGACTGAGATCAGGACGTTTTATACTTTTTGAGGTCACGTTTCCTCCGTTATTTTATGTCAGATCTCTGTTAAACAGTGGTGTGGTGTAATGAGCTGCTGTGAAAGCTGTAGCTTGGTGAACACAAGTGTGTCTGTGTGGATGAGAGGAGACAGATGTGTTAATAAGGGAGACTCTGGTGATGACGTTTATACTGTTAATGATGCTTTCATCAGATTGTTGCTCTGTGTATGTGTGTGCACGTGTGTGCGTAACATTGTAAACGATCCTCGGTGTGTAAACCTCTCTCCCTGTAGTGACTGATCGTCAGCAGTTGGTCGAAGTGGAACGCTTATCCTGCTTGCTTGGTCGTTTGAGTGGCTGGGGCAAAATGTTCGGCTCTTTTGACACTTGCCACGCTGTGCGTGAGGCTTCTTGACGAAGGCTCTGCATGGGGACTTTTCTGTTACTTTGGCTAAGGTACTGAGTACTTGACCTGGACTCAGGTCAGGGAAAGAGGACTCGACTCAGACTTAACTCTGATTTTGTTTTGGTGACTCGGACTGGAGCTTTGGTGAGTCGACTACAACACTGGACTTCTGTACAATCTGATGCTCCCTGCTGGACATTCTAATAATAATAGGTTGGAAACACGTCTGCAGTAGTTTTCAGACCAGCATGTCCTCCATGTTTGTGTTTCTGTGTGTGAGTAGCTTTTTTATTCTTCTCCTGAACCTGTCTGATGTTAATCTACAACAAATCCTGACCTTATCAGATACTTTTTTCACATGTGCTGCAGATGTGTTCTCCTCTTACCTGCTCCACTTTGTCCTGACATGTTGATATACATAACGGCCCATGTAAACTCTCAGTGTAAGTAGAAGTTAGCGGAGGTCAAGTGTCAAGGGTTTCACCAGGAAACAGTGAAAGGTGGAGTGTAACTGCAAAAACAAACGGGAACACTCATAAGTCTTTATTCTTCACTCTGTCTCTGCAAACAGCTGGCTCTCTAACATTTCAGCAACCAATAAAAGTGCTTTTCCCTCTAAAAAAATACCTCACAATTTATCTGTGTGAGTGCTGGTGTGTGTCAGCATGTGTGTTTGGGAGAGAGATAAATTACCACCTGGATTCAGTATCCAGAGTTGTCTGACTTCCTCATGACATGGACTTCCTGCTACTAAACTAACTGACACTCCCTATCTGTCCACACGCATACACACATGCATGCATATATACATGCACACTCAAATGCTTACTGGTGTATTTTTTAATTAATTTGTAACATTCCCAGTCAGCCTTGTACCCCTGCACATTTGCACACATTTAACAAAACAATAAAGAACAAATACGAAAAAAGGGATAATACTTAAACTCAACCCATACAAACACACACTTGCACAAACACAAATGCATGCACAAAACCACACACACTTGGACAGACACACATGCATGCACTTTCAGATGAAAGTAGTGTAATGCTGTGTTTTTATCTCCATGCCACAGTAGGAGGGGATTAACTACACATGACAAACACACAGCGAAGTTGATGAGTTGTGTGGCAGATATATGGGCAGGAATGTGGCAGTTAAATGTGGTGCAAAATCACCCTGAGCTTTTCCACAGTCTGAAACATGTTTCAGGGGGTAGGGGTGGGGGGGTCAGGGGGAGGGTGAAACTGTCCATGAAGGGGCTGTTTGGAATCAGAGTCAGAATCAGAAGGGGTTTTATTGCCATTGTCGATGAACAGGTTTCACAGACTAGGAATGTGTTTGGCATGATGGTGCAACAATAAACAGAGAGTAATATAAAATACTACAATAAAAACTAATAAGAGCATGCAAGAAATATATAAAGTATAAAAGTATAAAAATATAAAAAGTTATGTACAATGTTATGTACAATAAGTATAAAAGGTATAAAAGGCTATGTACAACTATACAATCCATAACAACAGTGCAGTGGGAGGAGTGCAATTAAAAAATCCAAAGTACATTAAACTAAAGTGACCAGTGATAAAGTGACAGCGTTAAAGTGACTGAGTTATATGGCTCTATTTTCGTTCCTCGCCGTAGACGTGCCGCAGGCGCGATGTAAGTCATGTTGGCATATAAAATAATTTTGGCTTACAAAACTGAATATTATAATATTCTTATGTAGGCTTAAAGTAAATAACTCATCTGATCACTGAAACAAATCATCTGTTCAGACGCCACAGCAGCAGCTGCAGCAGGACGTGGAGAGGACACGGAGACATGTCCAGGTCGAGCTGTGCGAGTAATAAGAGAAAGAGGAAAAAAGAAAAGGAGGGAGACGAATTACATATCTTGTTCACTTCATCATGTGTCTATTTACTAGATATTTAATTCAATTAAATGCGGTTTCAGCTGTGTTGATTCGGTCAGGTTGTGTGTCCAAATGCGTGCCAAACTCGCTCATCAGATCAGATATAGATCAGAATATATCTATATAGATCTAAATGTATGTGCTGACTCAGATTATTAGTTGTTGATGATTATTTGTTGCACTGAAATGTGCCTGACACTGTGGAAACCTGCCAGTGAGGCATCAGTGACGTATGCTGATACACCGCCGGTCTACCAAAATACCACTAGACCAGCTGCGCTCTGCCTGCGCTGAAAGCTGACCAGGTTTGAATCGGCAAGCTTTCAGCACACTTTTTTACGCCACCAGCAAGCACGAAAATGTCACTGCGGCAGCTGATTCTGTCAACACCTCCCTCTGCCACGCCACCATGCCCAGCTTGGCGGACCTCGGTGCACCTCAGTCCACGAAAATACCAAACTGGCTGTACGCCAGGCTCCGCCAGACGTAATTACCACTGCGCAGGGTCCGCCACCCTCCGCCGCCTCACCGGCGGACAAGAAAATAGAGCCCTTAAAGTGTTCATGAGTCCAATGGCAGAGGGGAAGAAACTGTTCTTATGGCTGGAGGTTCTGGTCCGAATGGACCGTAGCCTCCTGCCCAAGGGGAGTGTCTCAAATAGTCCATGTGCAGGGTGTAATTGTAATTTTAATGTCTTTGTTAAGAACTGCTTGAGGTGCCCCTCGCAACAGACTTTCCAATCAACATATCAGTTAATCAGCATGTCTCAGACAACATCCTGCAGGATGCTCCAGGTGTGAAACATCCCCACCACCACCCCAGGGGGGTGGATTGACAGTCCCCACAGAAAACAAAAGGTGCCAACATCAAAGCCCCATTCCTTGCCCACTGAGAGGCGGTCCTCAAGCATATAATGTGCTGTTTTCCCCTTGTTCGGGGTCTTTCTGGATTCTGAACTGCTCAGATGCAGATCGACCTTTCCTTTGCAAAGGAAATAAAACCTTGCCGGCCGGTTGAAGTCTCTATTTCATTATTCACCAGCAGCAACGGAAGAGAAAAACTTCCACCACAATTTGGTGTCAGAAGTGGGATCCCTCGAGCAATCGTCTGGGATGGAGCACGGACAGTGACAGGCCATCCTGGAAAAACAAAAGATTTCCAGCCTCCAGACCTCAAATCCTCTTGTGAGAAGGGAGGACTGACCAAAACCGCCCCAGATCATTGCCGCTGGGATTCCACGAACAAAATTCAGCAAATTCATCTGGTGAGCACTGAAATATTGACTTTCCTTTCCTTTAAAATTTTGGTTTTAATTAGGCATGACATTTTTTCTCATGATCTCCATACTTGGCGGCTTTTCTCATTACTTGAAGCATAACGAAGTAATGTTATTTTTTTTAAGGCCGACAAATGATAATTTTATTGCTCGTAGTCTGCTGACAAATGATAATTTTCTGCTGACAAGTGATAATTTTATTGCTCATAGTCTTTGGAGAAAGTAATGCTTTTCCTGCTTGTAGCCTTTTCTTGGAGAAAAAAAACGAAGCAAGGGATGCTTTTTTCATTGCTTGTAGCCTTTCTTGGAGAAAAAAACGTAAAGTAATGTTCTTTTTTTAAACAGACAAGTAATTGTTTTCATTACCTGTAATCTTTAAAAAAAGTAATGCTTTTTCCCACTTGTAGCCTTTCTTAAAACGAAGTAGGGGGTGCTTTTTCCACTTAGCATTTGAACAAAGTGATATGAAGCGCAGAGACGTCTGTGTGGAATTTGTCGCGACAAACCCATTGGATGGGGGGCAAGCTTTCCAGTGAGGTTGGACCTCTGGAAGGGCCGATTGTTGAGATCATGAGAAAGAAATGTGGGGACAAAAGCTTAAAATATTTAAATGTCTGGACCACTGAGTTTGGATTCCCAACAGGGGGGTCCCTCAGTTTAAAAAACATATCAAAACTAGAAGAAAAACTGAAGGCAAAAGAACAAAAAATGAGAAGGAAGAACAAAGTGTCTGTAAGAAAATTAGAACTCATTGAAGGTCAAAAAGAATGTTTACAGATGTGGAAAACGGAAGCAGAGATAAGAAATAAAAAGTTAATGCAAAAACAACTACCCTTTTCATGCGAAAAGGTTGAAACGATTGAGAAGCCAGATTCACATAAACAAAGAACACAGAACTCGCAGATCTCTTCTTCTTTGTATCCACAGTTGGCAGCTCTGAAGCTGGATTCAGACCTTGACGGCAACTCACCTTCCCATCCTTCAGCACCACCACCGTACAACTCTGCAACACCCAGCGAGAGCAGGCCGCAACCACAAGCAAGCTCAGAAACAGCCCATCCTGAAATGCCTGGTCCATCACAAGACTCTACAACCAAACCCCCCTCTCCAATTGCACACAGACTACGTCAATCCAATAAAGAGACAGCCTTCAACATGCCTATGGTTGAAGTATCTGGACCACAAGGCGCAACTTTGGTTTTTCGCCCATGGACTTCTGAGGACTTAACAGCCGCTTCACAACATCTGCCAAACCCCACAGCATCAGGTAAAATGTTTACTGAACAATTCCTCACATTCTGCCAAGAATTTAAACCCACCATGAATGAACTGAAAAGACTCCTGATCACCAAGATGAAACCCACAGACTGGCAAAAAATAGCTAAAGAATTCCCAAACGCTGATCTCCGCTGCCGACATATCACCTGGGAAGACAAATCTAATACCCAGTATAGAGATGCTGTAAATAAACTCTGCAGCGCATTCACCCAAGCTTTTCCTGCTAAAATTAACATGGAGAAAATCACTGCCTGCAAACAAAAGAATGGTGAAAACCCTGATGAATATCTCACCCGCCTGACAGACACATTTAATAATAATAATAATAATAATAAATTTTATTTGAAGCGCCTTTCACGTCACTCAAGGACACTTTACAGAACATATAAAAACAATAATAAGACACTATTAACAATTAAAATCATTAATCATCAAACAGTTAAAATCAACAAAGCAACATTAAACATGAACAACAGCAAAGGAATAAATAAAGAAATTAATAATACCAATTGAAATTTAATTTAAAAAAGTGGGTTAGGGGTGGTGGGAGGGATAGGCCAGTTTAAACAGGTGTGTTTTGAGTTTGGACTTGAAGAGGGGGAGGGAGTCTATGTTGCGGATGTGTGATGGTAAAGAGTTCCAGAGTCGGGGGGCAGAGCGACTGAAAGCTCTGCCCCCCATAGTGCTGAGGTGAACAGGGGGCACAGAGAGGTGGAGAGAGGAAGAGGAACGGAGGTGGCGTGTTGGAGTGGCGATGTGGAGGAGGTCAGACAGGTAAGGAGGGGCGAGGTTGTGGATGGCTTTGAAGGTATACAGGAGGATTTTGAACTGGATTCGTAGAGGGACCGGGAGCCAGTGAAGCTGCTGAAGGATGGGGGTGATGTGGTGGGACGAAGGGGTTTTGGTGATGATACGGGCAGCAGAGTTGTGGACCAGTTGAAGTTTATGGAGAGACGTGTAAGGGAGACCGAAGAGGAGGGAGTTGCAGTAATCCAGACGGGAGGTGACGAGACTGTGGACGAGGATGGAGGTGGTGTTGGGGGAGAGGGAGGGGCGGAGACGATTGATGTGGCGGAGGTGGAAATAGGCAGTGCGAGTGGTAAGGCTGATGTGGGATTTAAAAGAAAGAGAACTGTCAAGGACGACACCCAGACTCTTGACCTGAGGTGAGGGGGAAACTGAGGAACTGTCGATGGGAAGGGAGAGACTGTCAACTTTGGATAGGGTGGATTTGGAACCTACAAGAAGAATTTCTGTTTTCTGACTGTTTAATTGGAGAAAGTTGGAGGTGAACCAGGATTTAATTTCAGATAGGCAGGTGATGAGGGAGGTGGGTGGGAGGGTGGAGTTTGGTGAGCTGGAGAGGTAGAGCTGGGTGTCGTCAGCATAGCAGTGGTATTGAATGTTGAATTTATGGAAGATGGAACCAAGGGGGAGGAGGTAGATGATGAACAGCAGGGGCCCCAGGACAGAGCCCTGGGGCACACCTGAACTGACTGGGGAGGGGTCGGACTTGAATGATTTGAGCTGGATGAACTGTGTGCGGTCTGAGAGGTAAGAGTGGAACCAGCGGAGGGGAGTGTGGGTGATGCCGATGGAGGAGAGTCTACGAAGGAGGATGGGATGGGAGATAGTGTCGAAGGCTGCACTAAGGTCGAGGAGGATGAGGATGGAAAGTGAACCGGAGTCAGATGCAGTGAGAAGGTCGTTAGTAATTTTTAGCAGTGCGGTTTCGGTGCTGTGGCGGGGGCGGAAACCAGATTGAAAGGGGTCGTAGAGGGAGTTCTGGGTTAGGTGGGTGTGAAGTTGGCTGGCGACGACCTTTTCCATTATTTTGGCTATAAACGGTAGATTTGAGATGGGGCGGAGGTTGTTGAAGTTATTGGGGTCAGAGCCAGGTTTTTTAAGGATAGGGGTGATGGCTGCTGTCTTGAGGGATGCGGGAACAGTTCCAGTGGTGAGTGAGGAGTGAATGATGGCAGATATGAGAGGGAGCACAGATGGGAGGCATGATTTGAGCAGTGTGGTGGGAAGGGGATCCAGCTGACAGGTTGAGGGTTTGGATTTCTGGATGAGATCATAGATTTCAGAGTCATTGGGGAGAAGAAAACTGGAGAAGGGCTGGTGGTGTGGCAGGGGAGTAGGTGAGTTTGGAGGGGGTCCAGGGGGAAGAGAACCTGAGTGTAGTTGTTTATGGATGTTGGAGATTTTGTCATTAAAAAACTGCATTAGGGTGTTGCAGGTGTCGGTTGAATACAGGTGGGGAGGGAGGCTGTCCGGTGGCGGGAGAGATTTGTTGAGGAGAGTGAATAGTGATCTGGTGTTTCCTTTGTTGGAGATGATCTGGGCGGAGTAGTGGTCTGTTTTTGCGTGAGAAATTGAGTCCTTGTAGCAGCGTATGTGGTTAATGTACATTTCTTTGTGAATGGAGAGTCCAGTTTTCTTGTAAAGTCTTTCCAGTTGGCGGCCTTTGGTTTTCATGGAGCGGAGGTGGGGGGTGTACCAGGGTGCAGTTGTGGAGAAGGAAACAGAGCGTGTTTTGAGTGGAGCGAGGGAATTGAGGATGCTATTTAAACAGGTGTTGTAATGAGATGTTATGTCATCAGGGGTAGTGTAACAGTCCGGGATCACAATATTCATAATCTTAGAGCGCAGAGTGTCAATGTTTATGTTCTTAAGGTTGCGGAATGTAATGAGGTGTGGTGAATAAACTCTAGAGAGGGAGAGCGGAATACTGAAGGAGATGAGGAGGTGGTCACTTACGTGGAGATCATCAGCTGTGCAGTTGGATGGGATGAGGCCAGAGCAGCAGAGTAAATCCAGAGTGTGTCCTTTAGTGTGTGTCGGGAAGTTGATGAATTGATGGAGTCCAAAACTGTCCAGGCAGGATGAGAAGTCTCTGGTGAGGGGGAGGTTGGTGTTATCAATATGGATATTGAAGTCCCCCAGAATTATTATGTTTGGTGAGAGTGTGCATAGATGGGTGAGTAGAACCGAAAAGTCATTTAAGAAGTCAGAGTGAGGCTTGGGGGGGCGGTAGATGGTGGCGATGATGGTGGGAGTGGGTCCAGGGAGTGTAATTGCCAGAAGTTCGTGTGAGGAGAAAAGAGGCAAGGACAGCGGTAGAACTTTCCACTTTTTGTGGTGGATGACGGCGATACCTCCACCACGGCCGTGGCTGCGGGGTTGGGAGAGGTAGGTGTAGTCCGGGGGGGTGGAGTCGTTGAGTGATGAGAAGTCATTTGGTTGTTGCCATGTTTCAGTGATGCAGAGGAAGTCCAGCTTGCGGTCAGTGAGGAGATCGTGGATGATTTGTCCCTTGTTGGTGAGTGAGCGGATGTTGAGGAGTCCGAAGCTGACAGAGGTATTGTCATGTTTGGTGAGGATGGGAGCCAGTATGGATGGGCTTGTTAAAACAGAGTGATTGACAGTCCGGGTGGTGTATCTATTAGAGTGGTGTCTGTTGGTGATATGGACAGGAATAGTGAGAAGTTGGATACTACTGTAATTATTAGGGAGTGGGGAAAAAATGTCATGAAAACCTGTGGCAGAGGGAGTCGGTGACAGAATTTGCCAGCAGGGGGAGCTCTGGGGAGGACCTGTCAGCAGTGGGTGCACAACAGAGGGAGAGGAGTGTGTGTGTGGGGGGGAAGTAAATAGTCAATCACGTGGGAAACAGTGAACAGTGTGCTGCAGGTTAGCCGCTAACATGCGGCTACCTGCGGTGTTCGGGTGGATACCATCCGATTTAAGAAGGCACGAACGGTTCCAAAAAAGATTAAAATTGTCCACGAAGGCAAAGCTATGGGTTTGGGAGGCAGATTGGAGCCAGGTGTGCAGGCTGAGCACTCTGCTGAAGCTCCCGCACCCACGACCAGAAGTGGGAATGGGGCCGCTGATAAAAACAGACAGTTCACAGTTCTTCAGAAAGTTAAAAAGTTGGGTAAAATGGTCCTTCGTGAGCTCGGTCTGGTGGAGGGACGTGTCATTGGTGCCAACATGAATTATAATTCTCTGGATGGAAGTTGGCAGAGATTTTAACAGAGTGGGGAGGAGTGTTAAAATGTCAAGGACCCTCGCACCGGGGAAACACCGCGTGAGAGCGTTAAAAAAGCGGATGTTTCTCACGATGGAGTCGCCCACAATTAAAGTCGTTGGAGGGAAAAGTGGACGTGGAGACTGCGTGACCAGAGAGGAATGGGGAGGGGGGGAACTCGCCGGGGAGGACAACTGAGGCGAGAGGGAAGGGACACGGGCCAGCCGTGGTGCCGGTGTGAAGCACGGCATCGAGCGCCGCCGGAGGGACCCGGCGTGCGGATGGTCGGGCACGGGAGGCGGAGGACCGGAGGACCCATGAGATAGCCGGGTGGACATCGGCTGGGATCCCGCGGGCAGCAGGGGGGAGTCATGGAGGTCCAGGGTGTCAAACCTGTTCTCCAGGTGGAGTTGGAAGAGGGGAGCCTGAGGTGGGAGCTTTGTTTTCCTGGTGCGGGCGGTGATGTGGGACCAGCGCTCCTGCAGGGATGGAGTGGAGCTAGCTGGAGGCTCTGGATTAGCCTTGGGTTTTGCTCCCAGCCTTGTCGAGGAGACCTCGGGGAAGAAGGATGGAAGAGCAGGCAGAGGAGAGGTGGTCGCAGCAGCCGGGGGAGAGGTGTTGGGAGCGGCGGGGTCCGGATCCGACGAGCCGGTGGAGTCGGGATGTGATGTTCTGAAGACGATGGTGTCCATGAGTTTCTCGGCTTCCTGGATCTGGTAGAGTGTGGAGATCCTTTGTTCCAGCTCCTGGATCTTTTCCGCCAGACAGGCGCAGCTGGCACAGCCGGGTGGAGAGGAGTGTGGAGCCATGGCTGAAATGGAGAAAACAACAGCCAGCAGACAGCCAACGACACCAGGCAGGATCTAATAGAGGACAGTCTTGATCGGGGATTGGACTGTGCCGAGAAGGACACTTACACGCCAGGGCTCCGTCCTGGAGCCCGCAGCGGTGAGGAAGCAGATCAGACAACACGGTAGGAGACTTACCGGCGAGGGCCCCGGAAGAGGGCCCGCTGATGGTGGAAATCTCAGGTAAGTCTCTCTTTCGGCGTTCCAGCCGTGATCGATGTGACCGGGGGTATTTTATTTGATCTGCTGTGTATTGGTCGATCGTTGTAACCGTTGTAGCCAGGTAGATGCTCTGGGTATCTGGGGTCAATCCGTTAGAGTCGTCTGTTAGAGTAGCTGGACTCCACACGGCGCTGCCATCTTTTGCATTATTCTCTGGTGGAGCTTAAGGCTGGAGCTGCTCAGACTCAGACCTTCATCATGCTGCAGTTGCTGTTCCACCCCAGATCCATTATCCTTTTCACCAATTTTAGTGTAGCCTGGAAGCTGCAAAGGACCTACTAATCCATCCAGAACAATGGTCTTCAATATGGAGCTGGGGAAGATTTCTTGGAGAGTGGTTCAGGTGAGGACTGGGTGAGGATCCAGAGCTTGCAGAGGAGCTGGCAGAACCAACGTCGGCAGAGGAGGTGAGTTGGCGAGGTGAAGCTGACGAGAAGGGGGATCTCAACAGAGCAGGAACAGACTGAGTATCATTCAGCCGCAGGCAGACGAATAGCAGGAAACAGGCAGGCAAAGCTCGTAGTCAAGGACAGAAGGCAGGTAGGTTTACCAGGGCTGGTCAGGGGCAGATCAGGTCGATAACAGGTAAGCAGTCCGAGGATAAATGCTGGAGAGTCAGGCATGAGAGCGAAGACAATCTGGCGATTTAACACCCACAGTGGCCTTCAACCACCTAATGAAGTAGGAAACACTCCAGGTGTGTGGGAAATTCATCTCTGTAACAGTTTCTTAAATGGACTGAAACCAAACATTGTCTCAGCTGTGAAAAACTCCTGCATTGGTTGGGATGATGCACGACTGTCTGAATTTCGCAGACACGTCATACATGCTCACGACCAGATACTCTCTCAGAACACAAAAAAAGAAGAGACAACACAGAAAGAGCTTCACTTGGCGGCAATAACCATGTACAACACAATCCAGGAACATGGACATCGCTACCCTGGCCATAGAGGAACAGGACGTGGCCATCACAAAAACTGGGATAAAAGACCTCGAGGGGATGCCTGTTTCCTGTGTGGCAAACATGGACATTGGAGACGTGATTGCCCTGGCAACACCTCATCAGGCGCAATAGACAAATCGGACTGACAATGGTTGGGGGTTGTCGGAGAGGGATGGACTCCTGCTGACGAGCCAAACCAACTTGTGAAGAGGGAAGAAGGTACTGCATCACACTCACACACACATGCCAATCACATCAATTCACAATCCATAGAGAACCCAGACAACACACATGCGATTGTTTTAACATATGTTCCATGATAAAGACTTCTGAATTCCTTCAAAAACCTCATCTGAGCGGAAGTCATGTGTACTCTATTGGTTCATCAGGTCAAACAATTAAAGAGAACATTACTGTCCCACTCAAATGTATGGATGAGTCACGTTCAAGCTTCAAACACGCATTTTTGCTCTCTGAAGTCTGCCCTATTAACCTGATGGGCAGGGACTTGATGTGCAAATTGGGCCTTTGTCTAATCTCAACCCCAGAAGGTGTCAAAGTCTGCAGACTACCTGATCTGCCACCAAACTTTTCACACTCCTTTGTCTACCAAATCCGAACCTAAATTATGCATATCAATGGAAATTGCAACCATCAATCAACCTTTTCTGAGTTTCCCTCAACTAGGGAAACAATTTCCACAGCTGCAACAGATTTTATGGCACCAGAGGATCTGCATTGCACCTCTCACGTATCACCCGGACCTGGTGAGCCATACGAGGAACGTTGGTTAAAGATGAGGTTTGAAGAACTCACACTGACACATATTTATTGGGCACGACACAAATGTGCTATATCAGTCTTCCTTACACCAGCTCAAAGTGACATGTAGACCATGGACCATTCGGTCCCACACATCCCACACATCCCACTCGCAAAACACATATTAGATGACTGAGAAGATTTGGGCCCATTTATAATAGCATGTAAACGCGCGGCCAATTGGCATTAAACATCTGATCGATCCACCCTTTTGTTTTTTATTTGTTTGTTTGTTTGTTTTTTGTTTGTTTGTTTGTTTGTTTGTTTGTTTGTTTGTTTGTTTGTTTGTTTGTTTGTTTTTACAGACACTGCAGTGCTACTCAAAAAGTTTGACATCTGTTGTGCACACTCAGAGAATAATCCAGCTGGTACCTGAAAGCACTTCTATAACCTTTTTCTTGTTTGTCCACAGAACAAACTGAACCTATCGCAGCCCTGCAACAAGTCCCTAAGACACTGTCGGCTGTTGATAAGTATGATGGTGGCCTCATCAAAGATTTAGACCTGTTATCATTACTCCAAAATCAGATTTCAGACCTTGCAAGGCTCAAAATCCACTTAAACAAAAAACCATTGATGGCATAACACCAGTTTTTTTGACTCCCTGAGAGCAGCAGGAGTAATTGTTCCCTGTAACGACTCTCCAGTGCGCAAGCCTTTGTTCCCTGTAAAGAAAATCAGAGACAAAGATCAACCTACAGAATGACGTTTGTTCAGGATCTGCAAGCAGTAAATGCAGCAGTCCAACCCAGAGCTCCAAATGTTCACCAGACCGTTTACTCAAACGGTGAATGAAAGGGGTTGGGGGGTCTGGGGGCCTGGAGGGATGCAGGCAGGTCTCGTGCGAGTCAGAAGGGACCCGAGGTGGTCCACAAATTTCAAGACCCCCCCCCCCCACCCATATTATTATTACTGTTATTCACCATCTTTATTAATATTGAATGTTGTTGTTGTTGTTCTTCTTCTTCTTCTTCTTGTTACTGTTATTATTATTATTATTATTATTATTATTATTGTTGATATAATTCTTCTATTATAATTTTCATTTGCTTGTCTAACAATTGTAATATATTTTTTTCATTATTATTCACATATATATTACACACACCACACACGCACAAACACACACACACACACACACACAAAACCACAAATGCTGTTGTTTGTTGTATGTCTTGCACTGTCACTGTAATGTCGTATTGCACAAATAAAAAAAAATAAAAAAAAATAAAATAAATAAATGAATGAAAAACATGAATGCATGACTTCTGTTTTGTTGCAGGCTCACAGGAACAAGCTACACCCTGTAGCTTATTTTTCCTCAAAACTGGATCCTGTAGCTGCAGGCCTCCCAAGATGCCTTAGAGCCGTGGCTGCAGCTGAGAAGGCAGTTATGGTCTCCCAAGATATTGTGTGCTATTCTGATGTTACTGACATATGCTGTGTCTATGATTTTACTTGAGCAAAAAACTTCTCATTTCTCCACAGCACGATGACTACGATACAACACAGTCCTTCTAGAAATGTCTAACACCACTGTCAAAAGATACAATGTTTTAAATCCTGCCACTCTTCTCCTCACAACCAGACGATGGAGAACAACATAACTGTGTTGCTATCCTCCAACAGGTTTGCTCCCCAAGACCAGACCTACAAGAAACACATTTAACAAATTCTAATTTGGTTCTTTTTGTAGATGGATCTGCCTCACGCAACCCACAAACTGGTCGCAACAGAGGCGGCTTTGCTGTTGTCGCTAACTTTTGCTCCTGGAATCAGCTGCTGTTTGTAAATGTCTTGCTCACCCTAACAACTCAGACCCTGTCTCTCTAGGAAATGCTAGAGTTGATGCCGCTGCAAAACAAGCCGCACTCCAGCCACCTATCACTGATCCTTTATTGGTATCGATTCCTTTCACTGTTCCCACCTCTATCACAGCAATGCAATCTTTCGCCACACCTCAGGAAAAGGCGCTGTGGACACGCTGTGGTGCCACACAAAAGGATGCAGTATAACGAGGACCCGATAATAAACCTTGCCTACCTAAACACTTCTTTCCTCACTTTGCAAAATTGACACATGGGTTGGACCATGTGTCAAAAGGGGGAATGTTGGGTGCCATAACCCAACACCGGTTCACCAAAGGGTCTTCAGTTCATGCGCAGAAGTTTTGTCAATTGTGTATGGTTTGTGCAACGCATAATGCAGGTAAAACCAAAACAATCACACACGCTGCTCACCCACCACCACACAGACCATTCAAACACTTAATGATGGATTTCATAGAGCTGTCACCTAGTGGTAGCAAAGGCTCTGTTAACAGAAATCACTCCCAGATGGGAAATACCAACTGAACAGCGATAATGGCTCTCACTTCACACAGTGAATTTCTTGCCATTGACCTCAGACAACATTGCACATATCACCCTGCCAGTGGGGGTGCTGTCAAATGAGAGAATGGCTCTCTGAAATCAAAATTGGCCAAATGCTGTGACGAAACGGGACTGCCATGGACAAAAAGCTCTGCGGATTGTTCTAATGATATGATAATCAGGAAAAGATCCAGAGTAAACATGAGTCCTTGTAAAAAAAAATTTTTTTTGCCAGACCCCTGTCCCTTGGAGTGGAGCCTGTAAACAGGCCACTCCCCTCCACTGGCTTATGTGAGGATGACATGCTACAATATTGCAAGAACTTATCCTGCACTCTCTCTCAAATCTCCCAGCAGGTGAAATCAGCCCTTCCACCACCAGCTTCCACATCCCTCCACGACTTCCAGCCTGACGACTGGGTGATGATAAAGGACTCGAGAAGGAAGCACCGGCACTCCAAACGGTGACGAGGTCCATTCCAGGTGCTTCTGATGACACATACCACTGTGAAGATCGCTGAGAGAGCAACGTGGGTTCACGCCAGCCACTGCAGGAAGGTCCCGGAGCCAACAGATGATCCAAACCACCAACCCCGACAATGCGAGGACGACCGACGTGAGGACGAACGACGTACAGATGAACAGACGCAAAGGAGGAAGACATGAAGAATTAACTCTGTGAATTCAACAGACGCAGATTAGCCCACCAGACTACACCACACATCACCTGACCCCTAGACTGCTCCCAACACCAATGTTGGATGGTCTCTATTTCTAGGAGGTGGAACGGCTGCAGCTCTAAACAAAATTAATGGACTAGCCTGGTCTGTTCTTTCCTTAGCAGATCAAACTGAAGCTGCTCCCACCTTAATGAACACTGAAATGTTTGCAATTAGAACAGCAGTTATCCAATACAGACTCACTCTCGACATCATACTAACTGAGGGAGGATGGATCTTTTTGCTCCTCTTCTTCTCCCTCTTCTTCTCTAAACAACTGCCATGAAAATACATTTTAAATCTATGTGAATTAATGTGTCAGATAATTGAGTTGTAATATGATTATTTTATCTCTTTTTCTTTTTTCTATTT